AGATTCCAGATTTTCAAATAGTTGTATCTCAGCCAAATATTGTCCTATCCTAACAAACCACATATCAATGGAAAGCTTATTTATTCAGCTTTCAGATGGTGTATAAATCTCAATAATAAAAAAATGACCCTTATGACTGGTTTTGTGGTCCAGGGTCACAAATGTGAAAATTATAATATTATAAAATAATTCTAATTAATTAAAATATTTTTTCATTTATATTAATTATAGCATTTGCATGATCACTACTAAATGCAAATTTGTCATTTTGTTAACAAAAATAGTGCATTTTTTTGAAACACTTTTTGAAAGTCTGCTGAAAAATTCAAATGAACAAACTAGAACGAAATCAACAGGTCTTAAACTCACGTACCTTGCCGGTGGATTTGACGCCTTTCCAGATGCAGAAATAGCAGAGAACCCAGGCCAACAACAGACAGAGGACCAGATCCCAGTGCAGCGTTCCCATCTCCTCAATCCCAGACGAGATCCGCAAAACTCTGCGTCTACAGAGAGACAGAAATGACACATCAGCTGCAGCCTTCTTCAAACCACGTGCACTTGGTTAGTTGGAGACCTTTCAGGATAATGTGGCATAAACGTAGGGTTTTATCTTCGAGAGGTCAGATATGTTGCTTTTCAATTGAGGTTTATGCTTGATTTATCTTGAACTAAAAGTTAAAGAAGCTTGTAGGTTTATTTCGAGCAACAAAAATGCAGAAAACTGACAGGAAGATATAGTGAAACTTACTCCCAAAACTCAATTACGGGCGATGTTGCGTTTTCAAGGTAACTTTGGTCAATGGATTCATTTCGTCTTTGGAATTCCACGCAGGCATCTGAAAAACAACAGGAATCTCTGGATTATATATACAGTCAAAACTATTGAGCCTCATGCACCAATGATAATGCAGAAGAGATCTTTAAACTAACCTCATAAAGCTACAGGTTTGTGGACTGAATTGACGTTAACCTCACCTGTGTTCCAGGTGTTGTTGCAGGAGGCCCACGGCAGGTTCCAGGAGAAGGAGAAGGACAGGTAAAATATTCCCCAGGCCAAAACTATTATATAGTAGAAGTTGAGCAGAGCCACGATGACCTGAGTGGCGTAACCGATACCTGCAGTTAAAGACAGACCCAATAACAACACAGCTTGTGTCAAAACTGAGAAAATGGAATGACATCCTATATTTCACTTCCCATCAGGCTGTAGAAAAGGTCCAAATGACGTCACTTCATGATTACCACAATTTTATTTATTTATCCATTCATTCATTCATTCATTTATAAATACACTGTAAAACCTGGTAAGTTAAGAATACTCAGAACATTTGAGGAAACTTATTGCCTCAAAATATTTGAGTAAACGAACTCAATTTTTTTAAGTTAGTAGAGCTTAAAAATTTTTATGACAAGTGGGGCGGGGCTGAGAGCCATAGGAGCCAAGCCAAGCCAAGCCTCGCTGCTTTTGGGAACAGCAGCCCTGAACAATGCTTATCAGAGGACAGAAAAAAAACATGTTTGAGTTATTTCACAACAAACAAATTGAAATCGTAGCCTACATAGTTTGTACAATTGCATTTATTTAAATTGAATGTTGAAAGATAATATAGATCATGTTCTATTCTGTAATGTTAATAGAAATCATACACTGTCAGAACAAAAAGGTACACAAAATAACACTTAATTTCTACATTTATTTTCCTTGTTGTCTGATGCAAAGCATGCTGGGAACTAGAAAACGCAATCATTTTAAGTGCACCTTACTACAACAACATTTTAAATTTAGAGAACTTATTTCAATTAAGTCCAATGAACTTTCATTATTATTTGGTTAAAATGTGTTTTAAACATAAAGTTAAGTGGTTATCATTACCCGTTTTACTCTTAGTAATTTAATAATTTAATAAATTTCATCATTTAGTTCATTATTATTTGAGTGAAGTTAACTCGTTTCATTTAATTAATTTCACTGTTCGGTTTTACAGAACAGAAGTCTGTTGTACTTGTAAACTAAAAAAAATTTTTAAATGGAAATTCGGTAAAACTAAAATACCATAACAAATGTTAGAACAAAAATTGTAACGTTTTAACTAAAAATGTTTAACTAATCTTAAAACTTTAAAAAAAAATGAAAATTAGACATGTTGCCTTGGCAACTAACCAAAATCAATAAGTTTAAGTATCACAAGTACCAAAAAAATAAATACAAATGAATACAAATAAATTAAAGCTATATAGAAATATTAAAAAGTGTCCACCTAATAAAAATGACAAAAGCACATAACGAAAGTTTGATTGAAAATTGAAAATATAAAAATGAAAGCAATTTCAAAATATTCATAAATACTATAACAGTATATAAACAATATTAAAATAACACTGATTTCGCCAAATATAACATTTTGGGGTATTCAGATTATTTTATAAATAAATTAAATATATATTAATTAAACATTATGTCAAAACAATATTGTTGTATACGATTTTTATTGAAAAGACCCGAACAGGTCAAAAATCACAATTTCTGTTATTATTTCACAATTAATAATAGCAACATTGAATTAAACACGAAATTTTGAAGTAGAAAAACTGAAATTGTATTTTCTTGTAAAATGTACCAATCTTTGTTTTATTTACAGCTTCGAAAAATCAGTGTATCTAGCAGTAAAAGAGGGATTTATGCCTTTATTGTTTTAAAGAACAAATCATTTTTGTACCCTCTCTACTCTACAGATGGTTCCTGTGCATTTATATAACAAACAAACTGCTCATGTCATACTGAAATGGTTTGCAGTTGCTCATGCTACACATTTAAAGCTCTAAGGAACCAACATCTTGTTGCTTCACCTTCAAACAGCGGGCTGATCTTCCTCCAGCATGTGATTCCTCCCTCGCTGGTGTACTGACCCAGAGAAATCTCCAGGAAAAACACGGGAATACCGCAGGTGAAGAGGAAGATCAGGTAGGGGATGAAAAATGCACCTGGAGGAGGATAAAGACATAAATCATACAGTTTCTCCTGAAGGACAATCTGAGCACAGTTTGAAACTCTAGGGGAGAAATGTGTGAGATTACTGAGGTCTGTTTCAACATCTGAGAAGCTGCAGACTTCAGCAAACGTAAGAAATGTTTCCAAAGGCCCAAACGTCTCTGTATGGACACACGCTACGGGTTGATCAAACAACAGCTGTGACCTTTCACCTTCTGAACTGGTAACGCTTTCATAAGGCCAATTGCTGGATCAATGGGTCAGTTTCACAAACACCTGGCAAACGCTAAACACATTCGGTATCTGTGGCGATCCTTATCAAATCCTCAACTTTCGCTGCCCAGTTGGATCCTCTAACCAAGGGTTTACAAACTGGGGGCCACAAGGGAGTGCTAGGGGGCTATGTGGAAATATTTAGAGAAAAACAATGTTTAAAAAAATAAAATAAGATTAAAATAATAACTATATAAAAAAATACATTTGATTACACTAAAATAAGATCAAAATAAATAAAAATGGACTAAAACAAATAAAGAATTAAATTGATATATTTGATTAAAAAACTAAATAAATTCATTAGTAAGTGTAATTACAAATAATTGACTAATAAAAATATGTAAATAAATAAATAATTGATTTAAATGAATGATGCATTGATAAACTGTTTAAAATAAATAACACATTAACAGTACAATTGTGAGTAGAAAAAAAACATTCCTGTTGTAATGTAACCACAGAAAAACAAGATCAAACAAAAAAATTTGATTAAAAAGATAAATAATAAATGAATACATTTCATAAGTGAATGAAAGTAAATCAATAATAAATGTATTAAAATAAATATATGTACTAAAATAAATTAAAAATTGATTTAAATAAATAATGGATCTAACAATAACTTGATCTAATGACAGAATTTAAATATTTTACAAATGACATTTTACACATATTTATAATATAATTTTTTACAGTGTTAATTGGGTCTTTATATATGAAAATATATAATTGCTTTTTAAATGTTTAAATGGGGGGGTCCCTCGCATGAGGATGATCATATTTGGCATCTAATCGTTTGGAAACCCCTGCTCTAAACTATTTTACATTAAAAACCAGATCACAGCCAGCTCTGGATCTGAATGAACTCGAGCGCAGCCCTCCGTGAGGGAAAGTGTCCAGACACGTCCCGCATTCTCTCTCTGCTCTTTCCCCCGCAGGGATGTTAACTAGCCGTGTGTTAATGAGTCTGCTCTTTGTGCTGCACTAGCACTGGACTGATGTTGACGCGCTGGTTTACCTGTGGTAGTGTAGTGTGCTGACGGAGGCATGTTACCCCACATGCACTGCTGAGACCAACCTTTTAACAACACTTTAACTGATTAAACCTGTTTGGACATGTACCATGATCATACTTAGTTTTTTTTTTGGACATATACCATTTTTTTGGACATTTACTCTGGTAATACCATATTGTCGGGATATGTACCATGATAATGTCATGCTTTTGTACACGTATCATGGTAATATTATGAACATGTACCATGATAATACTTTGGGTTTTTCTAGACGTAATACCCTATTTTTGGACATGCACCATGGTCATGCCATGTTTTTGTACATGTACCATAATAAAACCTTGTTTTTTAGATATGTACCATGGAAATACCATATTTTGCATATGTACCATGATAATCCCGTGCATTTGGACATGTTCCATGATCACACTTTTTTTCTTTTTGGACGTACCATGGTAATGCCATTTTTTTTTACATAAACTAAGGAAATTGTCTATTTTTGGGCTTGTACCATACCAATACTTTGTTTTTTGGACATTTAGGGCCAGATTTACTAAACAGGGCAAATTAGTGTTAGAGCGCAATTCCATAAAAGGATGGGAGGGGGAAATTCTGCGGGTGATTTACTAACAATGCGCACATTAAAGAACACCGACACAGCCAGATCATTTCTATAATGACCAGCGTAATCTACCAAGAGCAGCGCAAATAGCGCCTGGTTTAAGGATCTGGTAATACCATATTTTTGGGACATGTACCATGGCAAAGCCATGCTGTTGTACATGTATTATAGTAATATTATATTTTTTGGACATGCACCATGATAAAACCTTGTTTTTTTTTTTTTACATGTACCATGGTAATACCATACACACACACACACACACACACACACATATATTAACATAAACTAAGGAATTGCATATTTTTGAGCATGTACCATACTAATACTGTGATTTTTGGACATATGCATGTTTTTTGGACATTTATTCTGGTAATACCGTGGTATGCAATACCGTTCAATACCGTATTGTTGAGACATGTACCATGGTAATGCCATGCTTTTGTTCATGTACCATGCTAATATTATATTTTTTGAACATGCACCATGGTCATACCCCATTTTTGTACATGTATCATGATAAAACCTTGTTTTTTTTAGACAAGTAGCATGTTAATACCATATTTTGCACATGCATCATGGTAATCTCATGCATTTGGAAATGTACCATGATAATACTTAGTTTTCTGATATGTAACATGGTAAAATACATGTTTTTTGCACGTTACAGTTATACCATGTTTTCTTGGGCCAAGTATCATGGGACAGTAATGGCATCAAATGATATTACAATGTTACTTTAATATATACCATGGTACCAGTTCATGTACCAATTCATTTTCCAGAATACCATGGTACATGTCCAAAATACCATGGTAGCACTATGGTACTTTTTGGTGCATTTTTGTAATTGAGGTTTATGGACGTTCATGGTAATATTATGTTAAACTGTGATTTACCATTGTAATACCATGTTTTTTAGGAGATGTACCATGGTATAACATGGCTTTTTGAACATGGTATCATAGTAATATCATGTTTTGGACATGTACAATGGTCAGTACCACGGTATGTATCATGGTACTTCTGCATCTTCTCACCTCCACCGTTCTTGTAGCAGAGATACGGGAAGCGCCACACGTTTCCCAGTCCAATGATCTCTCCGGCCACCGACAGGACAAACTCCAGCTTGTTGCTCCACTGTCCTCTGTCCTTCATCTTCACCTCCGTGTGCGGGACAATCTCCAGCGGCCGGTTCAGCCCGTTAGACGGGTCCATCTTGGTCGTAATCTCTTTCTCTCCTGTTTGAAAACAAAAGATGAATCTGATGACTGCTGTTCAGTCAATAGTATCACTCACTGAATCCTATGTGGTTATTTTGGTTAATTAATCAATATACTGTGTAATTAATTTAATTAAATCTTTTAAATGAAGGTCTCCCAATCAAAAGACAGCTAGAGAAACAAAGTGTTTTCATTCACATTGAAACAGAACGTTTTTTTTTCTCGTAAAACGTGAAGATATGAAACCTGGACACACCCATTCAGACCAGATCCTTTCATAAATGCAGTTCGTAAACCAGTTTGAGCACAAAAGCCAGCAGAAGACTGTATGTTTGTGTGAATGCGGTGGACCTACTCAATTCATGCCATATTATTGCATGTTTTGTCATGACGTTTGTAACCGTTGCATTCAGAAGCCACACAGCAACTGATCTGTTATGATTTATTACAAAACAGATGGCAAAAACAGCATGTGAAAAACTCACAGGGATATAAAGGGTTGATGTACTTCACTAAACTTAAAAAAACACATGGAACATCTTAGTTTCATCTTATCAAAATACCATAACAACCACATAGAAACATGCAAAAAAAAAAAAAAAGCTCTCTGAGCACCTTAGCAACGGCATAGCAACACACACACACACACACACACAACAAAAAACACTTGCTTTTGCAACCACATATCACCATGTTAAATAACACTTGGAACACTATAATGCCCTAGCAACTGCATTGCAACACAATAAAAACACATAGAATGCTTTTGCATTTGCATAGCAACATGTTTAAAAACACTGCACTCCTCAGCAACCACATAGCAATGCTCTAGCAAAAAAGAAAAAAAAGAACTGCATAGCAACATGTTAAATAACATTCAGGTATCCTTAGTAACCATACAGCAACATCCTAGCAACTGCAAAGCAATATGTTAAAAAACTCAAAATACCTTAGCAACCACACAACAATGTTCTACCAACTGCATAGCAACATGTTAAAACACACTCAGAAGTCTTTAGCAACCAAATAGCAACGCCCTAGCAACACATACACACACAAAAACTTACTGGAATGCTTTTGCAACTGCATAGCAACATGTTAAAAACACTCAGGAATCCTTAACAACCAACATAGCAAGGCCCTAACAACTGCATAGCAACATGTTAAAAAACACTCAGGAATCCTTAGCAACCACATAGCAATGCCCTAGCATCTGCATAGCACCCATGCCACAAAACACTTACTCTAGAATGCTTTTGCCACTGCATAGCAACATGTTAAAGACACTCAGGACTCTTTAGCAACCACACTGCAATGCCCTAGCAACTGCATAGCAACACTCAAAAACACAATGTCTGCTTTTGCAACAGTATAGCAATATGTTAACACTCAGGCTACCTTAGCAACCACATAGCAACGCCCTAGCAACTGCATAGCAACATGTTAAAAACACTCAGGACTCCTTAGCAACTACATAGCAATGCCCTAGCAACTGCATTGCAACTCTCTAAAAACACACTGACTGCTTTTGCAACTATATAGCAATATGTTAACACTCAGAATATTTTAGCAACCACATAGCAACGTCCTAGCAACTGCATAGCAATATGCAATAAAACACTTAAAATGCTTTTACAACTGCATAGCAAAATGTTATATAGCATCATATTAAAAACTTAGCAACCAAATAGCAACTGCGTAGCAACACTTACTGTTGAATGCTTCAAAAATCTACATAGCAGCATGTTAAAAATCACTCAAGACAAGTTAGCTACCACATAGCAACACCCTAACAACTGCATAGCAACATGTTAAAACACTCACCTTAGCATCCACATAGCAACACCCTAGCAACTGCATAGCAACAAACTATAAAAAATAGGCATTCAGGACTGTACATTTTTGCTGAAATTTTGACCTTTTTTCATACGTGTTTGACTTGAGGGTTAGTAATGACGAAATGATGACAGAACTCATTTCTTTGTGAGCCGTCCCTGTTCTAGTGCAATACTGGTGACGACATCCTGTCTGCTGTATGCCATGATAGTGACAGATCACACTAGCATTGTGGGAAAGGACTCTCTCTGTGTGCGAAACAGAAGACTCACTCACTGTTCATTTCTGTCAGCTTGAATTAACGGGTCGGACTCATCTGTGCTTTCAGCGGTCTTTGGATTTGAGACTTTAGTCTTTGCAACTTTACAGATCTTCTTTATGCACCAAGAGCTTGTAACACTCTAAAGAGAAAGGAAAAAATGAAATCGCATCATATGACCCCTTTAAAGTTGCCAGTCGCCGCCAGCATTTTTTATTTACATGCTGTTTAATGCTTGATGATCGAGTTATTTTTCATATGCATCTGCTTACATATGCGATCACTTGTTTCTGCTTCTTCTTCACCATGTTTCAATCCGGAGATTCAGTACTCTTTCAGAAAAAGTGTAATAGCGCCTCCTACCGTAAAACAGTGAAAACACGGAAAGCCAGAAAATTTAGTCAATGGCAGGGAAAGAGTTAATCGCCTCAATAGCTATGTTTCCAACACCCTTTTTTAATGAGCATTTTGAAGTATCGCATCAGAAACAAGTGATGGAAATGCCAAATTTAGAGAGAAAAAAAGTTTTATGCTCGCTTGAGGTGGTTTTAGACTTGTGCGAAAAAGGGTTAATGCGAATAATGGGACATGGAAACTTATTTGCCGCATCTACAGCATCTGAAATATTTTTATGGCCATTCTTAAATGCCTGAGCAAACTCTATCGTCAAAGTATTTCTGTATAATTGACCTTTCGCAAAGACCCACCCACCCTTTGTTACTGTTGCTATCCCCGACAAACAATGCCGCTCTCACACTACAAATCATGTTCTCACGCAGTGAAAAATACATCGCAGAGTAAAGAGAAAACGGACAACGTGCCGACAGACAAGACAGAGCAGGTTACTTCTGATATGAAAAAAGGTCTCAGGACTCTCAGCTTTCAAATTTTGTCATTTTTGAAGAAATTCGAACAATAAATACTGTTTTGTGGCTCTTTAATATGTCGTGACAGATCGCTGTAGTGCCTCAGTTCAAGCAGCACACACGTGAACCGATCGTCTTTTCAAATGTACTTAAAGCACAAAATAAACATGAATAAACATCAGAAAGCATTTTATTTCAACCGCGGAACACACCATTTTTCAAGTTTAAGTCCACCGAAGTTAATCTACTGTCCTGTCTGATTTGTGGTTAAGGATAGAAGGAATACAGCAGCGGCTACTGGGCATGCGCACATCAATAGCGTAATTTTTGTAACACTGTACAACAATTACTGTTTTTTCATTATTGTTTAGGGTTGGGGTAGACGTTAAAGGGGTCATATGATGTTGCTAAAAAGAACATTATTTTGTGCGTGTTAGAACGAGCCGTTTTAGGTAGGCGTGGTTGACTCTTAACTTTTATAAAGAGGATATCTCTTTGGATTTGAGACTTTAGTCTTTACAACTTTACAGATCTTCTTTATGCACCAAGAGCTTGTAACACTCCAAAGAGAAAGGAAAAATTGAAATCGCATCATGTAACCCCTTTAATAAAACACAATCTAACCACCTTTTTCTGAACACGGTAGTCTCGCCCGACTGGTCCGGTGCTTTACATTTCCGGTCTCTGGTGTTTCTAGTCACATTTACATATTTTCCGAGTCGACAATATAACTTGAAACCTATGAAAATGGTTTAATAGCAACGTCCAGCACATAGCACATGGCGTCCTAGTTTCATCACTTTACGGTGTTGCAATGACCGTCTTTTTGCAGGGATCTGTCATAGTTTAATGAGTGGGAAGATGACATGAAGCGACCCGAGGTTAGCTGCATTGAAGACAGATGAGCGCACATATGCATATAAAGCTCCCGATTGGTGCGAAGTTCACAGAATTTTGTCCACAGAATGATAAGAGCACACGTTTGAACATATTATTTTATTATTTAACACTCAGTATTTTTACTTAAGTGCTGCAAGCCAAGCATACAGCGTCGGACATGACAGATTTTCTGGTACGCAAAACAAGTACTTTAAAGAAATTCCTCAGCTTATTGCCGTTACTGTGGCAGCCAACAACAGCACAGCTTAACCCTGCGCACACTTTTATATTTAGTTCTATTGAAAAGTTTCAATTAAGTCAATCTTTTTTACCCTGTTTTAACATGGATTTCTACGGAGCCCCGCACATGGCATGCAGGAAAAAAATAGTAGGCTAAACTAATTCGTTCCCTCGATTTATAAATTGTGCGCACGATTTACTAATTCATTCCCTTGATTTGCTAAATCGTGCACATGATTTCTAAATCGAGAGAATTAATTAGTAAATTGTGCGCACGATTTAGCAAATCGAGGGAACAAAATAGTAATTGTGTGCATGATTTAGTACATCGAGGGAACAAATTAGTAAATTGTGCGCACAATTTATTATTTTTTTTTGCATGTCATGTGCGGGGCTCCGTAGCTTTTCTAGGAGCTGTCGGACAAGATGGCGGATAGCAGCGGTGGCACATAATATCCAGTTTATCAGGAAGTGACGATTTGTTGGATGGAAACTGTGCTTATTTGCAAATGTTTTATGCGACATTGCAATTTTGCACACAAGTTAAATTCGCAGCTTTGGATGGAAACCCGGCCAATGACTTCCTATAACCTTAATTTTTGCATTTTTTTTTTTAAGAAAACAAGGGACTTATTATTATTTTTGTTGTAAATACATTTCAGTTAGGGCTGTGATGATAAATTGATGCATTCGCGATTCATGGATTGATTCTGAATGCATTGCGATTCACTCTGAAATCAATTCTGAGCTTAGTTTTTAACAGCCGATGGTGCTGTAATCTAGTTTTTAACTTCACACTCAAATGCTCATGAAGAAAAGAGCTTGTGTGTCCGGCTGAGTCATGCAATTACACCTGGGCTCAGAATGACACAAGATTAATGTAAACACAGCTCACTGTGAACACCCTTGTAATTCACTTTAAACATTTCGAACTTTATGAATGATTATTTTAGGTTGAAGTGTGTGTAAGGAACTGGAAGCAAGCAGAGTACGGCTGTTTCTAAAGCATGTAGTCCCATCTGCAGCGAAAAATTTGAGAGAATCACAAAGCATTTGGAAAATCTCAGAATGGATGCAGAATCATTTCTTGATTCGCGATGCATTGATTTTTTTTCCACAGCCCTAATTTCAGTGTTTGATTTTTTCAAATTTTCACTAAATTTTGTACCATAAACAACTCTGGTGTTGGGTCAAAACCTGCTTCAAGGCTCCATGGGTCCAGGGTTAAGAGGTCTCCCTGTCGCCGTCCCTCGAGGGACAGACGTCTGTTCCACATACTTGAGGTTTCAAACAACAAGCATAGTGGATGTCCCGCAGAGCCAGAGGTCTTGAGAATGTGCTCTTTCTCTTGTGCAGAAACAGCACAGCGCCTCTACTGTCACAGTTGTCAGTGAAAAGCATTACCAGGCTGGTAAAAATAGACTCTTGCATTAACAAGACACCTGAAGGAATGAAGAGCTGGCAGCATGAGGTAGAACAGACTTCTGGGTTTGAAGGCCATTTGTTTGGAAGATGACCTCAGAGCGAGGCGGTTTGATCACAGTTTACTGCAGTTTTCACAAGGCCAGAGATGAGATCATACGTAAGACCTATAGAGCTGAGCTTCTGTGTGCTGTTTGCCCGCAGGAATGAAAAATCACAAAAGAGATCTCATTATTATCATCTCAGTTGTTTCTCCCAGACAACAGTAATATTAGATGGAGAGCAAATGGAGTTTCTGCTTCTCAGAATGTGCTCTTTGTGTGATCTCAAGTCTTTCAGAATGGATCTCAAAAGCATCTCAATCTGTGCTACGATTTGCCTATGATACCAAACTCATTTAAAAGTCAGGTAATTATGCTAGAAAAAAAAACTGTGGATCTCTTTAGTATCTCAATTATTTATCCATGTCACCAAAGATATTTTCTACTTGAGTCTTCTGCTTCTCAGACTGTTCTCACTAGAAAAAAAGATAGTTTGCAAAGACTAAAGTCTCAAACCCAAAGAGATATTCTTTATAAAAGTTAAGAGTCAACCACTCCAAATGTTCACGCAAAGAAAGAAGGCGTAACTTTATTGTTGCTGCCGCCACGGCCATGTTGTGAAGACACTGTGTGTTTCGCTGCGAAAGCGAAAATACATTGTTTGGTCTTTCAAAAGAGGACACGACTAGAAATCAGTGGTTAAGTTGTATTTACAACACTGTTCCAGAACAAAAATAATATTCTTTTTAGCAACATCATATGACCCCTTTAATAAAACATATGAGCTTAAATGGAGAGCAAATGGAGTAGCTAAAGTCCCCTGCTTCTCAGAAGTTTCTCCTGAGAAAATCTCACATATCATGTCTGGAGTTTCGAAGGAGATCTCAAAATGTCTCAAACTGTATTCCTCAGATTTCTCAAAGATACCAAAAGAAAAGAGGAACTACATATAGATCTCCTTATTATCACAACTGTTTCTCCTAGACACCAGTCAGATGCAAACTGACCTGCTTAAGTCTCCAACTTCTCAGATGTTTCTTTTGAGGGAAAAAAAAACCCCTGCTAATCTACTAATCACCAATGAGACGCAAACTGACCTGCTGAGATCTCCTGCTTAGATGTTTCTCCTGAGGACAAAAACCCTCCTGATCTCACATATATAATTTCCTGAGTTTCAAAATAGATCTAAAAAATGTCTCAAACTCTGCTCAGATTGATCAGAGATACCAAATTATGTCTCACAAACGAGGAGAAGAGAGTAACTGCATATGGATCTCTTTAATGTCTCAGCTGTTTCTCCTAGACACCAATGAGATGCAAACTGACCTGCTGAAGTCTCCTGCCTCTCAGATGTGTCTCATGAGAAAAGAAACTCTGCTAACTTCATATAAATCACATCCTGAGCTTCAAAAGGAGATCTTAAACTGCCTTAGATTTCTCAAAGATACAAAAAGAAAAGAGGAACTGCACAAATATCTCTTTAATATCTCAGCTGTTTCTTCTAGACAACAGAATGCAAGCGGACATGCTGAATTCTCCTGCTTCTCAGATGTTTCTCCTAAGGGGAAAAAAGGGGGGAAAACCCTGCTCATCATCTCTAGAGTTACAAGAGAGATCTAAAAATATCTCAAACAGTTCTCAGATTTCTCAGAGATTCCAAAGGAGAGAAGAATTCCACAAAGGTCTCCAATATCTCTGCTGTTTCTCCTAGACACCAATGAGATGCAAACTGACCTCCTTAGATCTCCTGTTTTTCAGATGTTTTTCTCACGAGAAAGGAAACCCTGTTAATCTCACATATCATTTCCCAAGTTTCAAAAGAGATCTCAAAAATGTCTCAAACAATTCTCAGATTTCTCAAAAATACCAAAAGAATTTGCACATAGATCTCCTTATTATGCTTATTATTATGTTTCTCCTGAGGGAAAATCCCTCCTAATCTCACACATATCATCTCTAGCTTCAAAAAGATCTAAAATATCTCAAACTGTGCTCAGCTTTCTCAAAAATACCAAAAAAATGTCTAAAAATGTCTCAAACAAATATACCATGAGAAAATACTGTTTCTTTCAGACACCAAGTAGAAGCAAACTGACCAGCTGAAGTCTCCTACATCTTAGGAGATGTTTCTCCTAATATCATCTCTAGGGTTTCAAGGAGATCTCAAAAATGTCTCGAACTGTGCTCAAATTTGAACAAGATAAGCCTGCAATCAAAAGTGTCTTAATATGAACTCAAACATTTCTCAAATTCTCATTAGATATGAAAGAGCAAACTCTCTTTCAAAGAGCACTAACATGGGCCATCTGTGACAGCAAATTACGATTTGAAGGATGAGAAATGACAGAAATAGAAAAGCTCTCAATGCAGGTAGATACTTGCAGGACAAATAAAAATGGCATCTTGCCAAAAGTTGCTGTTTGCCAGAATCTCTGCCTGCTCAATAAATCTCTCAACTTGCTGACACATAAAGCTGGAACGTCCAGGCAGAAAGATCCTCAAATAATCCAAAACCACATATTACAGCACAATCAATGTGGGGCCAAACTCCAGAGGAGCGTGCATAAGTCACACTCGTGTGTCACTTAGGACCTTCAGCTTGGCAGCTCATTATTTGGATTCGTAGCTATTGAACTGATTCGCAAAGATTTATTTCATGGGTGCAGCTGTCAGGATTTTGATTAACAATTGACAAATTGAAATGAATGAGTTTATTTTGTGACTTTGTGGCTTCTTGTTCAATCATACAAGCAGAATAACACGTTGCGATGGTGTTTGGGAATCTGAACATGCTAGTGGAAAAATCCCAGAGGAACGAACCGCATAGCTGAAAACATCTACACACTGTATATCACACATGTGACATGTGCATGAAGCACTGCAATTCCTCATGCGTGGAGGTTGCATTCATTCTGACCACATTTTTTATACAAAGCAAAAATAATTAATTGCACATTTAGAACGAATGAAGTTGCTTTGCAGGCAATTGGTTATTCTTTTTAGTCATCTTCAAAAGTTGTTTCTCATGATCGTAAAACATTATGATCAAATGGTTTTAATTATAATTGTAGACAAATCTCATCATACATATTCGTCCTTCAATAGTATTTAAAAGCATGAGTTGAATGAGCAAAGCTGGAATCTGGACAAACAAGAAGCTCAAATATAAAAGAGTTTTTATTTGTGTCACGTGTTTTGCTCATTACTTCTTTCCTATGCTATCATTTGTGTTAGTTTAGAGTCTTTGGTAGACTTTACTTTTACTCTAAAATGTAGAAAACTGTCATAGTATATGGTAATGCTGCAGTCAGATCCACACTGTCATTAAATCACATTAAATAAGATGTTATTAATCTAGCATTTGCATGTTTTTTTTCTTCTTTACAATTATTTAGAAAGGGAAAGAAGTCAAATTGTGTTGAAGGTGAAAATAATATTTGTGACAGTACAAACTGGTTTTCATTAGAATCAAAGTGATAAAGCTACACAAACATGTATTTATAGAGTTGCATTTACCTAAAAAAAGTCATGCACACACAAGAATGCATTACATTGAATATGCATGAAGGAGCATAAAATAGCAGGAGAAAACTCACCTTTCATTAGGACGTTGCAGGGCAGCCGGCAGTGTCAAGTTTCCTGTATATTCTCAGGTTTTGCTCTTTAATGTGGGGGTTTTCTGGTTTCGTGTAATCCGTCAGTCAGCCCTGGATGGTCCAAGTCCAACTCGTCCCCCCTGCACCTCCCTCTTGCTCCCATTCACAAAACACTGAGAGCGTGAGGCTTCAGTGGGGCACCGGCGGATTGCATAACACCGTCACCCAGCGCTCGTTCAGCCTGTGAAGCGTTTTTTTTTCTCTCAACTGAAGGGCACCAGAGAAAGGAAACATTCTGGCTCCGTCTCAAAAGACCACCCTGATCACACCAGCCTCTCAGGAGCTTAATAAACGGGGCTCAGAATGAATCTCCAGAGAAGATCATGGGATACTGGTCAAAAGGAGTCACATTTCTATTGGAATAATATATATATATATATATATATATATATTTTTTTTTTAAAGTGCACTCGGTTTTATTTTTACAGACAGATATCAGTATTTTTAGTTGTATTTTGCTAAGACAAAAACAAACAGTGAACAAACATTCAGAACACCTCATCCACCACATAGCAACACCCTGGCAACCACCCAAAACACCATAGCAACACTCTAAAAACACTCTTAGTAATACCTTAAACAAATTTCTTAGTGAAACTCTGGAAAATCCTAGCAACCACCTAGAACACTAAAAACATTCTGAAAACATTAGTAATTGCATAGCAATGCCCTGGCAACCACCCACAATACCTTAGAAACCAACAACTGCATAGCAACACTCAAAAAAATCCTCTTAAAGTAAAACATACTTTACCCTATCACCCTAGTAACCACATAGGACAATCTCACAGCCACATAGATGTGCATTAAAAATCACCTTAGCAACTGCACAGCAACGCATTGGTAACCACCCAAAACACCATAGCAACTGCATAGCAACACTTCAAAAGCATGATAAATAATACCTTAACAAGTTTCTTAGCAGAACCCTATAAGACCACCCTAGCAACCACCCAGCAACGCTCTAGCAACCACCTAGAACAATCTTGCTGCCACATAACAATTCATTAAAAACCACCCTTAAGACTGTAGCAACTACATTGCAGAACACCATGGCAACTGCATAGCACTGATAAGCTACTACTAAATGTAATGTAGAAATTTTAATTTTCTGTAAAGCTGCTTTGCAATGATTTATATCGTGAAAAGCGCTATACAAATAAACTTGAATTGAACTTTGAAAACATAATAATACCTTAAGAAATTTGTTAGCAGAACCCTGTAAGATCCCCGTGGAAACCACCCAGCAACGCCCTAGCAACCAGATAGAACAATCTCACAGCCACATAGAAGTGCATTAAAAATCACTTAGAAGACCTTAGCAACTGCATAGCAACACAGTGGTAACCACCCAAAACACTCTAGCAACCACAAGGAACACTAGAAAAGCCTTAATACTTTAGTAACTGCATAGCAATACCCTGGGAACCACCCAGAACATCATAGCAACACTTTAAAACACTATGAATAATACCTTAACAAATTTCCTAGCAGAACCCAGTAAGATTAGCCTAGCAACCAACCTGTAATGACCTAGCAACCACATAGAACACTCTTGCAGCCACATAGTGCATTAAAGGGTTAGTTCACCCAAAAATGAAAATTAGCCCATAAATTACTCACCCTCAAGTCATTCTAGGTGTATATGACTTTCTTCTTTCAGACGAATCCAGTCGGAGTTATATTAAAAATGGTCTTTGATCTTTCAAGCTGTTTCATGGCACTCAGCGGGTGTTGCACGCATCAGTCCAAAAGCACTTAATTAAAATGCACCCATCCATAATGACTTGAGGGTGAGTAATTTATGGGCTAATTTTCATTTTTGGGTGAACTAACCCTTTAAAAGTCACTCATAAGACCTTAGCAACTACATAGCATCGCAGTAACCACGCAGAACACCATAGCAACCACAAAAAATACTAAAAACATTCTGAATACATCAGTAACCACATAGCAACACCCTGGCAATCACCCAGAATATCCTATCAACCACCCAGAACACCAAAGCAACCACAGAGAACACTAAAAACATTCTGAATGAATTAGTAACCACATAGCAACCCCTGGTAATCACCCAGAATACCTTAGCAATCACAAAGAACACTAAAACATTCTGAATACATCAGTAACTGCATAGCAACACCCTGGCAATCACCCAGAATATCCTAGCAACCACCCAGAACAGCCTAGAAACCACAAAGAACACTAAACACATTCTGAATGCATTAGTAACCACATAGAAACACCCTAGCAATCACCCAGAATATCCTAGCAACCACCCAGAACAGCCTAGCAACCATAGAGAACACTAAAACCATTCCAAATGCATTAGTGATCGCATAACAGTGTCCTTGCAACCACCCAGAATACCCTAGCAACCACAAAGAAAACTAAAAACATTCTGAATGGATTAGTAACCTCATAGCAACACCCTAGCAACCACCCAGAACACCATATCAACCACAGAGAACAATAAAAACATTCTGAATGAATTAGTAATCACATAGCAACCCCTGACAATCACCCAGAATACCCTAACAATCACAAAGAACACTAAACATTCTGAATACATCAGTAACTGCATAGCAACACCCTGGCAATCACCCAGAATATCCTAGCAACCACCCAGAACAGCCTAGCAACCATAGAGAACACTAAAACCATTCCAAATGCATTAGTGATCGCATAACAGTGTCCTTGCAACCACCCAGAATACCCTAGCAACCACAAAGAAAACTAAAAACATTCTGAATGGATTAGTAACCTCATAGCAACACCCTAGCAACCACCCAGAACACCATATCAACCACAGAGAACAATAAAAACATTCTAAATGAATTAGTAATCACATAGCAACCCCTGACAATCACCCAGAATACCCTAACAATCACAAAGAACACTAAACATTCTGAATACATCAGTAACTGCATAGCAACACCCTGGCAATCACCCAGAATATCCTAGCAACCACCCAGAACAGCCTAGAAACCACAAAGAACACTAAACACATTCTGAATGCATTAGTAACCACATAGAAACACCCTAGCAATCACCCAGAATATCCTAGCAACCACCCAGAACAGCCTAGCAACCATAGAGAACACTAAAACCATTCCAAATGCATTAGTGATCGCATAACAGTGTCCTTGCAACCACCCAGAATACCCTAGCAACCACAAAGAAAACTAAAAACATTCTGAATGGATTAGTAACCTCATAGCAACACCCTAGCAACCACCCAGAACACCATATCAACCACAGAGAACAATAAAAACATTCTGAATGAATTAGTAATCACATAGCAACCCCTGACAATCACCCAGAATACCCTAACAATCACAAAGAACACTAAACATTCTGAAAACATTCAGAATGCATTAGTAACCGCATAGCAACACCCTGGCAACCACTTAGCAACGTTCTAACAACTTAGAACAACCTAGCAACAACAGAACAATGCAAGCACCCTGGTATACCAGACCATTGGAGCACTGAATCAGCACGTTTTCTTAAGAAAAAGTAAAAATCGCTTTATTATTGATTTTAATTTGGATGTTTTTTTCCCTTAACTCAGTTTGTCTGTGAATTCAAACGGTTGCTCATTCATTCCTTTCTCCTGCTCATTCTTTGTGTCTTCAGGCGTTCTCTGCATACTGATGCTCCAGGAAGAGTGTTTTTCTTCCCAGCAGCTCAGTGATGCTCATTTAGGAGAATAAACCGCACACACCGCTCTCCCAGAGCACAGTTTTACTCCTCAGACTGTCGCTCGTTTATAACTGGGATTTAATGCAGTTCTCAATTATATTTCATTAAGGTATCAATTTCATCTCAGATGTTTCTTCTTAAAGTCTTCAAGAGAGATAAAAACTGACCCAAATGAGCACATTTGGGCAAGAGAATACACAGCAAAATTCCCAGAGTTTAATCAACTCTGCTCAGAGTACATATTGTCCCAATCTACAGAGTGTTAAAGTAACACTGAAGCAGAGTTAAAGTTAATGGGATAATTAAGCAATTGATTAATTGATGAGTGAGCATTATTAAAGAAAACCCACTGTTAACAATGTTGAAGATGAACAACTACTGCTCAGGCTTTTAGATATGAAAACATCACATAATCCTCAACAGTGGTAACTCTGCTTCAGTGTTACTTTAACACTCTGTAGATTGGGACAATATGTACTCTGAGCAGAGTTGATTTAACTCTGGGGATTTTGCTGTGTAGGGCTAAAAAATGACCGTGGAGCATGTTGAGGTTGTTGAGAAACTCACATGAGATTACTGGAGTCTTATTCTCAGGAGAAACATCTGAGACTTCAGCATGTGCTCATCTTCTTGCTGTCAGAGAAGCAGACAGCTGCGCACGATCCTTTTATAAGAGCTTTGCAGCATTGCATCACTAAACTGTGCTAGGTGATCTGTCAGTGAAGGTACACGGAGTTCTTCAGCTCCAGGTACACACGAGTGTGTGGATACAATACGGAGCAGTCCATCACATCTGTTTGTTATCTTGTCAAAAAGAACATCAAATTAATAGCAGAATGTGTGTGTTTGCCAGTATAACCACATCCATGCAGTCCAGCAGAGATGCATGATTTACTCAAAGTTTACCGTACAGTGTCATACAGGGGGTCGACTTTTTCAATCTCATGACCCTTCAAGAACATGTCCAGGTCATATTTCATCCCCCCCAAAAAAATTAGTATTAAATTCTAATTATTTTAGGACTATCGAGATGGTGAAATTTGTTGGGAAATAAGACTGATATTTATACTTCAATATTAATGATTGGAATTGGTGCATTTTCATGGAAAAAAAAGCTGGAGATTGAAGATAAAGATACAGACCTGATATATAAAAATAAATAATTAATGAGTGAAATATCAGGAAAAATATTCCAAATATGTATAAATGTCAAAACTGATTATCAGTCTTTTTCTGTACAAATTTTACCATGCAAAAATCTTTTTTGGGGTGATTATAATAAGGATTATTATAATGAAAGATTAATGAATCTCATGAACATGTCCAGGTCATTAAATTCTGATTATTTTAGGACTATCGAGATGGTGAGGTTTGCTGGGGAATAAGAAGACTGATAATCAGTTTTGACATTTTGTTATAAATATTTTGAATATTTTTCCTGATATTTAACTCATTAATTATTTATTTTTATATATCAGGTCTGTATCTAGTTATCTTCAATCTCCAGCTTCTTTTCCATGAAAATGCACAAATATTAATCATTATTATAATGAAAGATTATAATGAATCTTATGTACTCTCAAGAACATGTCTAGGTCATATTTCACCCCAAAAAGTAATAAAATTTAATAAATAAAATTTTGATTATTTTTTAGGACTATTAAAATTTGCATGGTAAAATCTGTAGAGAGAAAGACTGATAATCAGTTTTGATTTTTTTATATAAATATTTTGAGTATTTTTCCTAATATTTAACTCATTTAATGGTTCTAGTCATTTTGCACTAATAATAATATAATAAATGTCATAATGCTAAAACCATCTCATTGTCATTACTGCAGTGTGGAAACAATAATAATACAATTGATTACAGTATACAGTTAAAACTCTATTGTAAGAAAGAGAATAAAAAACTTTGTTTTAATTTAAAAATAACTAGATTTTTCCACAAAATGTAAATATGTTTTGCATAAAAGAAATAAGGTTACAAAGGGGTCAGACAGTTGCCCAGAAACCCCCTGCAATTCAGCCTGAGTACATACGGTAGCTTATTCATATAATTTAGGTCTCCAGGCAAAGTTATTGTGTTGAAATATGCTGTACGGCTCTCTGGCATCTTTGGAGCAGCAGCACGTTATGAAGGATGTTTACAGACCATTAGAGGGTGTTCACTGCTCTCTGAGCATCTAATTACGCACATTACTTTCTCAGAAACGGGGGGGGGGGAAGGAAAACGGCAAGATCTTGTCCAAACTTATTGTTCCACATTGTGATTTTGAAACGTTTAGCATCAATAAAGAGAAACTCAGAGATGTTTTTCTTGCCCCTTTTCCCCCAAATCTCTCCACATCACTTCCACAGGTTACTGGTCTGTCCGTACGGAGGAAGCTGCTCCGTCTCTCTCGTTTAGCATCACCTCGTCTTAACCGTGACAGGAACGCTGTTAATTATGAGTTGGAGCATGCAGTGCTCAGTTAACGGCTGTGCTGTGCTCCTAAAGACACAGTAGGAGACCGATTGCATAAAAGATTCTGGCAGAAGAAAAACAGGACAGAAAGAAAGCGCTAGAACGGCCTGAGACGGGAGTGTTTCTAATTCATGGGAAACTCACTGTGTCACTTCTACCTACTCGAAGATGTATTAAAGGAATAGTTCAGCCGAAAATGAACATACAGTATGCTGAAAATGTGCTCACCCTCAGGCTATTCAAGATGTGGATGAGTTTGTTTCTGCATCAGGTTTGGAGAAATGTAGCATTGCATCACTTGCTCAGCAGTGGATGCTCTGCAGTGAATGGGTGCCGTCAGAATGAGAGTCCAAACAGCTGATAAAAACATCACAATAATCCACAAGTAATCACTCCAGTCCATCAGTTAACATCTTGTGAAGTGAAAAAAAAAAAAAAATCCATTCAAACTGCAAATTTGGTGAATCTGAAAAGAGCATGTGCGGGTCAACACCACTGAGAAAAAAAAAATACTCACTAATAAAACATCCAGGTTATATCTCCAAAATCAAAATAAATAAATACATTCATAAAACTACTGCAATAGAGTATTTTCAGTATCAGCATACAGGTATGTTTTGAGAGTACATATTTATCAAATATTTTAATATCAAAATATATGAATTTTATTCGAATATTAAATAAAATGTGTTAAAACAATGAATAAATAATTATATCCAAGTCATAAAAAAAGTTAATATAAAAAAATTCAGAACATTTGTCCTACCATAGGAAACAGTGTTGGGGAAAGTTACTTTTAAAAGTAGCTAATGCATTACAATATTGCGTTGCACCCTAAAAAAGTAACTAATTACGTTACTTAGATACTTTTTATGGAAAGTAATGCGTTTAGTTTTGAGTTACTTTTTAAATCTGGGCAGGGCTTGCTTGTTTGTTTTTAATATAAAAAAGTTCTTCTTTTACAAATGTAAAAGCCCTTTCACAACAAAAGTGAAATGAATACGCCTCAGGCTGAAGGAAATGTAAATTCACGTCTGTACAGTAGAGGGCGCAGCGCAAACAAATTGCATGAAGAGTATGACGCAGGAGAAGAAAGTTCAACACCATTCAGCAATAACAAAAATGAAACACAAATGTGTCATTTTTGCTTAGTATGGTTGAATTGGATCATCGAAGGTCAGTGGTTAATAAAATGGGATTAAATACATAGATGATAGTTTTTCATATTTAATTATTGCAGGTTTGTATAATATTCTGAGTTTGCATTT